CGGTCGCGCCACCAGTCCCAGTACCAGCAGCAGCACCAGCAGCAGTAGCAGCAGCAGCAGCAGTAGCAGTACCAGCAGCAGTACCAGCATCAGTACCAGCACCAGTACCAGTACCAGCATCAGTACCAGCACCAGTACCAGCAGCAGCAGCCGGTGGTCTCACCTCTCACACCGGGACTCCCTGTGTCTGACAGCGTCGCCGGGTTTAACGGGGAGGATTTTCAGTGCACATCGTCGGCCACTTTGCTCTATAATTCATGTCCTGCTCCTAAAATAGGTTCTCCAACAGAACACACTGTTTTATCTGCAGCTGCAAAAATAGATGCATGAATGCAGAGCAAAGAGCTGCAGATTCTGAAGAGGAAGAAGAAAAAAAAGACTGGAAGGAAAGACACCGGTACCGGCTCGGGCCGATCGACGGCAGAGACAAGTTCTATGTCTTCTTGCTCTTCTAGCTCTATTTTTTGACGATCAATTACATCGGCCAACAATATTAGCATGTTACGTAATATCTGTAAGAATCGTTAAAGATTTTTCCTCCGATAATGAAAACCAGATAACGCAATGCCTGGGTTTCGCCAAATGATGTGTGAACTAAAAAATTATTTTTTGGGGAAAAACGGCTGTATATTAAAGTAAACGTCACTAGATGGCAGCATTACAGCTCATTAAATGAATCTGGTTTGTACAGATGACCTATATCGGTATCGATTGATGTTGGATTCAAAAATTGGGTATTTGGAAATATTGGAAAAAAGTTTTTTTTTGGTAACATTTTTTATGATCAAATGAACAACATTTCTACCGTGGACCCTGGGAATTAGCATCATCTTAGCGTGGCTGTGCTGTTACGCAACACTGAGTGATGACACTGGAACGTCAGTAAACATCACACATGACTACTGCCATCTACAGTCCATTTAAATATTGACAAAATCCAAAGTCTATGAGTGTAAAAAAAAGAAGAAAGAATCACAAGATACTGAGTATAAAACACAAAAGTGTAACTGTTTTTCTGACCTCGTCCACTGGTCCAGTCCTGATGTCCAGTGAGTGACAGGTGGACTAACGTCTGCCGACACTGGAGAATCAGAGTGAGATGAACAGAGAGCAGCAGCCGTGGGAGAAACGTCTGCCTGACACGTCACAGAACATCACGCAGACATGTTCTCATCCCAACATCTACATGTGGGACTGCAGGGACGAGGACGGAGCTGAGGAAGACGAGGAGGAGGAAGAACTCACAGTGGGATGTGTCCAAATCTGGTGATGTTTTCAGATAAATACATTTCAGAATCTTGTTTTTTCATTTTTGATATTTGGTTAGCTTATATTAGCTTGCTTATAGCTAAGTTTAGCTAACTTTAGGTATTTTTTTCCAGTCTAAATTGATGATTGGTGTGAATGTCAGTGGTCCCTCCTTACATACTCTTACAGTTAAATGACTCCAGCAGATGGCGCTCTAGGTGACTACCCATATTGTCTATGCTAAGAGCCCTAGCTTCCGCTTCTGCCAAGGATAAAGCAGTGAAAATGAAAATGAATGAATTTTTAAGCAATGATTTTCGCATTTTTAATTATTATTATTTTTGACTTTTTAGCTGCTTCCAGTCGTGTCTGTAAATGTATCCTGGTCTAAAAAGGTTTCTCCACACCAATAAAAGCTTTGGCAGCTAAACACACAGGTGTGTGTTCATATGTGTGTGTGTAGTTTGGAGGGTCGGACTTTGGCCAAACTCCAGGAAACTTGTTTCTAAAAAAAAGTGAAGAGTCATTATTGAACACGAGGACGAAGAATCAAACTCCTGCTGGATCACGTCGATAGAAGTCTGTTCACAGACGGCTCAGAGGAAGGACGGGGACAACACTGCACCACGGACACACACACACACACACACACACCCAGTGACAGCTGACAGTGTCAGACACTGAAGCATGAAAGTTGAAGTTTTTCTCCCGTCTTGTTCCACGTTTCTGACTTTGTGTCAAATATGAAGAAAATAAAAAAAACGCCAGTGAGTGTGGACGTAAAAAATAAAAACTGCTGGAAAGAAAGATAACTAGTCAAAGGTAACTAGTCAAAGATAACTAGTCAAAGATAACTAGTCAAAGATAACTAGTCAAAGATAACTAGTCAAAGATAACTAGTCAAAGAGATAACCAACTGTTCTCTAAAACAGCTGATAACGAAGAGGGACTTGTTTTGTTGGTTGTTGTTTGTTGCAACTTCGTGCTCAATGGCGCCTCCTGTGGCAGCCAGTGTCGATGGAGGGATGACTAAAGGACTCACTTATTTATTATTATTATTATTATTATTTTATCCCAGATAATTAGCTTTAGTTTAAAGTGACAAATCTATTGTAGAAAAAGTTTCTAAATTTAATTTAAGGTGAATTGAAGCTTTAAAAAAAAACTGAGGGAAGAAAGGGCAGAAAATAAGTAAAAGAAAATTAAATGCTAGCAATAAAACAGCAAAAATGTTTTGTGTTTTACAGTTAGCAGAAAAAAGGTAAAAGAAAATTAAATACTAGCAATAAAACAGCAAAAATGTTTAGTGTTTTACAGAAAAGGCAAAATATGATGAGTTAGAAAAAAAAAGCTTAAAAGTTTTGATTTTATGATGTGGAATAAAAATGTATCTGTGAACCACGTAAAACCATAAAACGTGCCACAAATGGGCCCGCACCGTAGCTGGGACTCTTTTTTTTAGCAAATCTGAATTTAAAAAAAAAAAATGATAAAAGAGATTAGAACAACAAATAAATAAAGACTAAGTGCTCACTCTGTTGGACTGACTTCATTTTCCACTCTTTTACATGAAACATCCACGTCTGACAGACTACGGTCAGTGGTTATCAGCCTTCGGTCTGTGATTTATACAGATCTGCTTTATAAAAAAACCACAGACCGCGCAGCTCCGTGTGCTCCGTATGTGCAGCATTTATAACAAAATAAGGTGATGATGTCGCCCGTGGTGGGTTTTCCTCAGGTTGGGTCACTTCCTGTCCCGTACGTCGCCAGCGTTTAACTGTAAGAATAATAACAAAACAGAGAAAGTGGGGGGTCGTGGGCTGCAGCAGAGCCTGGAGGGATTTGTGACAGAGCAGATCAGACAGGGGGGGGGGAAAGCATAGAGAGAGAGAGAGAGAGGGAGAGGGAGAGATAACAATTCCGATGGAGTAATAAATAAATCTCCTTCCTGAGAAGTAGCCGGAGGACTGACAGCAGCAGATTAGAGCCTGTGCCTTTTAAACAAATTGGGTGCTCAAAGAGGCATATTGGCTCTGTGCTGCAGCATGTTTTATAGCCGACACACACACACACACACACACACGTATACAGCGGCGTGTCAGTGTCTACATGACATCACGCACGGCGGAGCTTAAACAAATGCAATTCCCCGCGATTTATTTATTTATCCATCTGCAGCGAACACTTCCTCTCGGTAGCGGTTGACCTATAAAGTAAAGTTGTGTCGCAGTCGACTCGAACACACACACACACACACACACACACACACACACACACTGAGGGGGGTGTCAACAGTGTGGGGATGGGAATGAGATTTGAGAATTATCCTCCCAAAAATATGTTGTTTCTAACAAAATAATCCCAGCGGTCGCTGCTCAGGATGCTAGCTGCTGTTTCCTGACGTTGAATGATGATGTCATAGATGTTAAAGTTTTTACAGTATTAAAAAAAAAACTTGAGCTCCTTGTTTGATACGAACTTCCTGAACAGTCGCTCCGGAGTATAAGACGCACCACAGTGCCCTCTAGTGGCTGTCAGTGTGAAAATAAAAAACATGTAAATTTTCATTGGTACAGAAGTAGCAGATACTGGTGGACAAGCCTAGAGTGCCCTCTAGCGGCTGTCAGTGTAAAAATATCAAACATGTGAAGTTGAATATTTTAATATAAAAGTCGCAAACTCAGCCGAAGGGTGAAAAAAAAAGTGCGACTTATAGTCTGGAAAATACGTTAATAATAATCAGTTCTGGGACACACAATAGTACGAATATCACTGCAAGTGGAACTGATTCAAAAAGTACAATTGTTGACCATCTTGTTGACTGGTTTTATTTTTAGAACCTATCCCTAAAAAACACTTTTTTTTATCAGGTTGGAAAAATTATATGCTATTGTTGTGGAGACACTTTTGCAGGTCCCCAAAAAGTGAGATCATATTTTCAGGTTTAAGATTAAGTGTAAAGTAAGGGTTCGAATTAGGATTAGATTAAATTGAGGGTGAGGATTAAGATTAGTCGTTTCAAATGTACGACTGAAAATTAATATAATAATAAAAAACTTCAGCAGCGTCTTCGCTGAACTGTCGCTGTCCACGGTCCTGAAATCTGCTTTCTCCCCCTCCCCGACCGCCCCCCAACCGGTCGGCCGGGAGTCCGCGGTGTGGGGCGTAGCGCGGCGGAAGCGGCAGCAGCAGCAGCAGCAGCAGCAGAACTGCCTGCTGCTTTCTGGAGATTGGATGCGAGAGAGAGAGGGGCGAGCCTCCTTCACCGAAGTGGTTCGCGTTTGTTTTGACTTCTCTCTCTCTCTCTCTCTCTCTCTCTCTATCTCTCTCTGCTAAACGCTGTTTCTTGGCAATAAAATATATAAAAAAGTGGAGCCCTTCCTCAGAGAATGTAGGCTGCGGGACTCGCGTTGTTTCCATCCCTGTTGACTTGCTGCATTCTTCAGTCCAAAAGTCTTCTTCGTCTGACCGCGGCCACTAGAGGAGGATGTGAAACGGTCCAGGTCTGGATCTCAGTCCAACATGCAGAAGGGAATACGACTCAACGATGGCCATGTCACCTACCTGGGGCTTTTGGCGAAGAAGGATGGTACGAGACGAGGGTGCCTGAGCAAAAAAAGCTCGGACAACACGAAATGGCACAGCAAGTGGTTCGCGCTTCTGCAGAATATGCTTTTTTACTTCGAGAACGAGTCCAGCTCTCGGCCGTCGGGATTGTACCTGTTGGAGGGATGCATTTGCGACAGGGCGCCTTCTCCCAAACCTTCCCTGTCCGCCAAGGAGTGTTTGGAGAAGCAGGTATGGAAGGATGGGATGGATGGATGGATGGATGGATGGGGAGAGCGCACAGAAACACGCACAAACACACGCACACAAACACAGGTTTTTTTTTTGCGCAGCTATTTTTGTCCAAGACTCTGCATCTACTTCCATTTCTTTGGACAGACTGAGGACAGCTTTATGTCCAACCATCCGTCACCGAAACCTTATCTAAAAATGTCCCAAAAAAAAAAAAACAACAACAAAAAAAACACAAAAACAAAATAACAACCATCTCACCTCGAACCTCAACCCAACAGCCAGGATTTTAGATTCTGATTGTGATCAATTTAAAGACTTTTCAGCAGATTTGAAGGCACCACAGGTTCACACACACACACACACACACACACACACACACACACACACCCTCTCCGTCGCATCCCCGTTGTTTTTCAAAGCAACGTTTTTCTGTGTTGATGTGATTTGACGTTTGTCTCTGATTGTGACCTGGAATTCAGCAGATGCAGCAGAAACACACACTCACTCACACACACTCACACACACACACACACTCACAGTGTTGTACGTTATGTAATGCATGCATGGCATCTATGATGAGGTAACAACATTAGAACCTACGGTGACAGGACAGCAGCTCCTGGAGACGCGCTGGGTTTTGTTTTTTACTATTTCTGTTTATTGGACTAATTCACTTCTCATTGGTTCAGTTTCTTGGCCGTTGCCAAAAATAGACTCCAAGTAAAAAAAAAAAAAAAAAAAAAAAAAAATAAATCAGAGCTTTTATCGGTCACAGTTGTACACAGTGATTTTTTTTTTATCAAACGAGTTAAAGTTTTTTTTTAAAAAAAAAATTTAAATTATTGAGGTTAGAAACAGTAATTTAATATTTTTTTATCAAACGAGTTAAAGTTTTTTTTTAAAAAAAAAATTTTTTTTATCAAACGAGTTAAAGTTTTTAAAAAAAGAAAATTAAATTATATCAATTATATACACTCAGTGACAGGGTTATTTGAGATTCAAGATTTAGTTTTAGAGTCAGGATTAAAATTAGAGTCAGATTAGAGTTGAAAGAAAAAACAGATTTAGGTTTGTCATAAATTTGGACTCTTTAATAATTTGGTTCTAAAAATGCTTTATGTTGATGTAAAGGCCTCACATAAAACAAAACAAAAAAACATTAAATTGTGTGTGCGCGCGCCCGTGTCTGCGTGTGCGTAAAAACATTAAACTGTGTGCGCACGCCCGTGCGTGTGCGTGTGTGTATCCAGTATTTACTTGTGACAGTACAGGGTGGAGATAGAAGACAGTTTTCACTGCTCTCTCTCCAGTAAAATACTGTTTGTATGTGAGAGGGGGGGGAAGGTTGTGACCTCAGTGTCTCCATCTGCTGGTGAAACCTTGAAATGACCCAAGGCTGCCCGGAGAACAGCAGGGGGTCAGAGGGTCTTCCTTCAGCACAGACAGAGGTTACTGCTGGTTATTAGTACCAACAGTAGTTAATAGTATTTATTACTTCATTTTTTTGCTTTTTATCTGGATAATTTGAGGATTTTTTTAGCAGCAGATAGAACTAAGTTCTAAAGTTAGTCACGTTTCTCGTTTATTTTTATGTTTTGTTTTTGTAGACACCGATGTAGAGTCTCTGGACCACATCGTTATTATTTTCGGTGAATAGTACAAGGCTATGTTGACCAACCTTAAGCTATTTCTCGGCTAACACCTTTTTTTTTTTTGCAGTTATCAATTTTGCCATTTTTTAAAAAATATTTAACATTTTCATCTTACTTTCGAATATGTTATGTAGCAAATGTAGCTACTGGTGTTCACGTGGGCTAATGTGTCAGTTTTGTGACTAGCTATTTTGGCTAAGTGTTTTGGTAACATTGGCTTTATTTACATCCGGCTAACCATTAATTAGTGTTTGATCAATCTATCAGAAATTTTAAATTTTAAAATATATTTGTACAATATTTAGGTGTAACACCCTGAAGTCACATATCCGATATCCGATATTCTCCAAACACCCTAATTTCCAATTCCGATATCAACCGATTCCGATATAGGCCTGGTAATATTTATTTATTTATTTATGTATCTGTACAAACCACTGTATGAGTAAGAGATGAATTAAATGAGCTGCAATGCTGCCATCTAGTGGCTGTCACTTTAATATACAACGTTTTTCCCCCAAAACTGCTGTATTTTTAGGTCACTAATTATTTAGCGAAACCCAGACATTGCGTTTTCAGGTAACCCAGACACTGCGTTATCAGGTTTTTTATTAAAGGAAAAAACGATAACGATTCTTGCAGATATTACATAATACGCTAACATTGGGCCGATAATATTGGTCGGCCGAAAATATCGGACAACCCTAATATTTCGTTTTATTACGATAGCATGACCTTTTAGCCGTTGTCGTCGCTCTTACGTGTTCGGTTACTACATCTGTATTTCTTACAAAATGATTTTACAGTAATGTTTTTCCCCCAACGTTGATTGGTATTAAATTTCGTAATTTAAAGCTACACAGCAGCTAAGAGACAAAGACAGACAAATGCAGCCGCAGCAGAACCTCCTCCTGCGCCTCCTGGTGGAGGTAATTAAAGATCTCCACTGTTCCTGGAATCAGCAGAGAACAAAGGTTTCAGAGAATCAAACCTCCACAGCCTTGTTGACGCTGCTACTGTTAATGAACTGCCCGTGAACATAATGCCGCTCTGCTGCCGCCACGGTGCAGCGCGGCGCTCTGAGGCAGGGCTGCGGTCCAAATCTCTCTTCCTGTGAACAGCTGCCTCGGTGCTGACAAGGCAGAACCAAAAACATTGGATCGTTCTGCGTGCGCTCAGAGCAGCTTCGCAGGCAGACAAGGCAGATTATTTTTCATTCTTTCCTCCTAATATTGTGTGTTGTCAGCAGGGACGTTGTTCCTCCGCAGCATAATGAACGCTCTCTCTCGTCACACTCTCTGGACCGCCAGTAAAATTCTGCATTTGGTTACCGTGGGTTTAAGGTTAGGTCAAGGAGAGCGTGTTGTTTACAAAACAAGTTTGTCTTTCAAATATCCAGACGTAGAATGTTGTTGTGACAGCAGTTAAGTGAACATCTAGATGGACGTCAAAAACAGCTAGTTAGCAAGTTAGCCAGAACCAAGTTAGCCAATAATGTATTTATAGGAAAATGTACTCAGGTCAAAAGTACATAACTGTAAATAAATAAAGTTACATTTATGGGTAAAAAGCTAAGACATAAAGTCAGCTGTCTACTCGTTGAAATTAGCTACAGGTGAAACACAATTAGATAGACATAAAGTCAGCTGTCTACTCGTTGTTATAAATCAGTAAAAAAAAATGCCATAAAAGAAGTGAAACAGAATTAGATAAAAAAAATAAACAAAATCTCATACGACGTGGCTGAAGTCATTTAAAGTTTGTGCCACAAGCAGTTAAGGATTAAAGGAAATGATAAAAGTTACGCAACTAAATCCAGCATTAACGCAAATAAGTAAAGGTAATAAATTAGCCTAGCTATCATGTAGCTATTAAGCTAAAAACACAGCGAAATTGCTGTTCAAACTGCTAAAAAAGACACAGACAGTGAACAGTTGAGTGATAACAGTTAATAATAATTAAAAGTTAATATTGTAACTAGAGCAAAGATAGAGTAATTTAAACTCTATCACACTCTGTCTGTGTCTTTTTGAGCAGTTTGAAAAAGCAATTTCGCTGTGTTTTTAGCTTAATAGCTAAATAGATAAAAACAAGGAAGCTTTAGCCAGAGAACAGCTAAAACTAAGAAAGAAATATGCTACAGATACAGCTTAAAACAGTCGACTGGACTAACGGATCACAAAACCAGGCAGTTATGTGTCACAGGAAAAGGTGGTTTTTAAAAGTAGATAAAGCCAAAATAAAATTAAGAAACAAATGCACCATAAAACCGCCAACAACGCTAGAATTTAGCTAAAAGCAGGGAGCAGCTGGAGAAGTGTTCTGTAAAGTGTTGTGAAAAATTGCCAAAATATGTGAATAACATCATAAAGAGGAAGAAGTTATTGATTTCCTTTGTTCTGCGGTTCAGATATTCACACACACAGGGCGAATGCGCCGCTGCTACCGATGCTGTTGATGATGATGAAGAGCCACCTCTCATTTTTAAACAAACAAACAAACATCCTTAAGAAGACAAACAGTGTAGGAGCGCAGGAAAACACCGGGCAGCCCTACTTCCTTATTCCCTACTGGATTAAGCGCCGTTACAACAATCCCTGCTAATCCCTGCATTATATTTATCATCAGAAGTGTGAAAACGCTCGGCTGCTAGAGCCTGAGGTTTCCATGGTGAGCCTTATTTGCATCCTAAATCATGATGCAAGTAGAAGGAGAGGCGAGGGGGGGGGAGAGGGAGGGGCATCTGGGCCCAAAATCTGGATTTCAATAAGCCTTGTGTTGTTGCTGTTATTAGCATTTCAGCCACAAATATGGGAGTTTTGTATCGAAGAAAGTAGCGTCAACTAATAGCATTGTTGACGCTATGAAGTTAGAAAAAAACAACAACTATAAAGTTAGCAAAAAAAAACAACAACTATGAAGTTAGCAAAAAACAGCAACTATAAAGTTAGCCAAAAACAGCAACTATGAAGTTAGCAAAAAACAACAACCATGAAGTTAGCAAAAAACAGCAACTATGAAGTTAGCAAAAAACAGCAAATATAAAGTTAGCCAAAAACAACAACCATGAAGTTAGAAAAAAAACAACAAATATAAAGTTAGCAAAAACCAGCAAATATGAAGTTAGCAAAAAACAGCAAATATAAAGTTAGCAAAAACTAGCAAATATAAAGTTAGCAAAAATTTTAGTATTTAGTAGTTTGTATGTACTGTTACTTTTTTGTCATTTTGACACTTTTTGAGCCAAAAGGGTAAAAAAAAAAAAGAGACAGATTTTCATTTTTTATTTAAAACCCTCTGACAAACATTGATTTCAGAGCAGGAACCTCACCTGTTTCCAGCCTGTATTCCCGCAGTGTGATGTTTAAAAGGTGTTTTGTGACTCAGCCATAAACTCAAGCCAGGACACTGCACACAATGTGTGTGTGTGTGTGTTTACATCAGCTAACAGCAGATATGAGAGGAGGAAAACTACAACATCACACATGCCTGGGTGCCAGAAATAGATTGTGACAGTCTGCAGGATGAATGCTTAATGAAAGTGAGGATGGAAGAGCAGGAGGCTATAAATAATGATCAGTCACAGGTTGATAGGTGCCTGTTGAGCATCTGCGGGCCGGAGATTACAGTCTGCTCTCGCTCACAACCACAATTCACTCACTGGAGTTGACTCGTTATTTGTTACTGCGGCTCATTTTCTTGTGATTCGGTAGAAAATCTAACCTTGATAAACCACGTAAAGTCTTAATTTCCGACATCAACGTGTTGTGGAAATGACCTTGGAACTTTTCTACGCAGATAATGGGACGTTCTCACACTGACATTTCTTGAGATTTATTTCTAGCAGCAACCAGTAGGTTTTGGTTATCTTTTAGCCATTTTTATTTTTTATAATTTTTTTTTTCGAAATTATAACTCAATTTGAGCCACTTTTTTTTTTTTTTTTTGCAAATGTACCTTATATATTTGACGTAGATAATGACCTTTGTTCCTTCGTTTTGGCCAACTTTTAACTTTGAGCTTTTCTGGACACATTTATAAAACAAAATTTGAACTCTGTTACCGCCGTCGTCCGATTTATATTAAATCAAGCTCCTCTTAAAACTGATGCTAACGTCTTGCTAACTATCAAAACAATTTGTACTCGAAACGAACATACCTTACTGACATCGCCTGGTGAATATACAACAAAGGTGTTTCATAATAAATTTAATTAGCCCATAAATATCCCACAGTGTTATGTAAACAATACGGTAAAAAAACGGAAGAAATGTAGCAGACTTTGCTAAAAGTTAGCCCAAACAGATTCTAAATGGTCCTCAAATTGATCTAAAGTCCACTTGACACAGATATCACTCAGACATTAATCCCAATTATCTAATTAGCGACATCACTGGCATCAATTACAGTAATGTAACCTAACGTTTTTTTTCTCCATTAATGCAGTTCATGATAAACTAAATACTAAATACAAGCGCTCACACCAGTAGAACACAGTCGTCTTCATCTCTACTTCTGACGCTCGTCTTCCACTAAAGTCCAACACACAAAGTGATCAAATTCATTTAGAATCCAGTGACAGAAAAAAAAAAAAAAAAAAAAAAAAAAAACCCACAGAGAAACAGCCGACGTGTTCACACTGGCTGGAGTTGCTAGGAAACAGGTATGGCGCAGTTATGTAATTAGCCTCCACGTCTTATGGCGTTTCCTCCTGGGAACCAGAGACATAAACACCCAAAAAACCGAAGCTGGGGGAGGAACCCCCCCCCCCCCCCATCTTCACCTCCCCCTTCCCACATTCGCCATTGATGGCACATAAGTGGGCGAAGGGGAAGAAAAAAAAAGTGGCTTTCCCAGGTCCTGTGTGCTTTAAATCACCCACTAGATGTGTCTGGAGCAGCAGCAGTGAAGATGCAGTGAAACCAACCACCATCCAGCATAAACAGTGGAACCAACATCAGGGTCGCCGCCCTGTTGGGAGTCCACCATATATAAACCACTAAGCTAACTCTTAGCTGAACTTTATTTGATCCAAATAAAGTTCAGCTGCTTCACATCATTTATTTGTTGTTGTTTGTATTTGGTTAAAAAAAGCCACAGTCAGCAAAGCATTCTGGGAAATCTTGATTTCAAAGGCCCGTTACTCAGCAGACGATGTCGAGGACAGAGGCGACGACCTCGGAGTTCTGCAAATTTTTTGGATAAACCAGACCAAATTTGTTTGTCGCAAAGGTTTGTTTCCTAAAACCCAAAGGTCGGTCAAAAAGTTCTAAGACGATCTTTAAGAAAATCTTTTAATAAAGATTTTTTGTGTGTCTGTTTTTTACAAAACCTGTTCTTTTCAGATATTTAAATATCTGATGTAAGTATTTAAAGCTGTATTTCACATCACCTGGTCCAGTTCTGGTCCAGTCGTGGTCCAGTTCTGATCCAGTCCTGGTCCAGTTCTGGTCCAGTTCTGGTC